AAATCAGTAATAATCTAAAATCAGGCCCTGTAATTCTTTAAGCCCCTGCCACACCAATGGAAGATCCTGGAAGCCTCTGATTATACTAGTATGAGGTAAAACCAAAGCAGACTCTGTACCTATTAAATTAATTCACCCAGAGCAAAAGCAGATCTCAGAACATGCAGCAGTTCTTCACTCTTCCAGAGCAGACATCTGAGTAGTGGCCTGTCTATAGGTTATATTCTGGCAGAAAAACAGACTGCAAAGTGAATCTCCTTCCCCACACAGCCAGTGAAATCACAGAACCGCTGGTAGACTTTGCATTTGCATCTCTTCCTAACACAAGCTGCCAACACTGCCTGCAAGGTCACATGTGTAAAGAGAATGGGGACGGAGTTGGGGATGACACATGTTATCAGAGTTGGCTCTCTAGCTTTCCAGGAATGTGCCTAGACTATGCCAACCCCTGGTCCAACCCTCTAGTTTCAACCAAAAAAGCTGGTGCGCAACCTGGGAACCAGGGAGAAGCCTGGGCTATCCAATTCTGATTAACAAAAACGTAACTTCCACTAGAGGATGATGTTAGATTATGTTTGTTCCTTCTACTCTCAGGGCAGTATTTTCAACGCAAGGAGTGTGGGACAACTTTGAGTATCTGGCAATGTCTTGAGACACTTTTTGATTATCATAGGTTGGCAGATGATACTACTAATATCTAATGTATGAAAACCAATTATGCAGTCAGGCATCTTAAAATGCACAGGACAGCCTCATTAACAAATAATTCACTGGTCTAACCCCTGATCTTGCCACATGATCACCATAAATACCTCAAAAGCACTTATGTGCAGTGCACTAGAATTCCAGAAACTCCCTCTAAAGACCTCTTTCACTGAGTAAGTTGATTCTAGAGTAGAGAAATGTGGCAGTATAAGTTAGACCTGCTCGTGGAGAATTTTCACTTTGTTTTGAGGAAAAGAACTACTTTGTCAAAATTCATCTGTAAAGAAAGGAAGCTGGCATAAATATTTTTGAAAGTTCTTTGAGCTCCAAAGCCCTGATTCTAAATATATAAACCAAACCTATACTGTCCAGTCAATTTCAACCCACAGTGACCCTAGAGGATGATCCTATTGAGTTTTCAAAGCTGTAAATCTTGATGGAAGCTAACTACTGCCAGCAGACCAGCTTGTGGGTGAAAACCACCCTGCCTTTGGTGAGCGGCTGAGTGTTATAATGACTGTGCTGCCAAGATTCCTTCTAGATATAGGAGGTGGTAAAAATGATAAGGGACTGCTCTAATAGCTTCTAGTAACTTTTTAAAGTATCTCTGGAAGCTGAAAGCTTAGAACAACTTATTTACTTTCCTTTGGAAAGTAAAAGGCCACCTGACTATGAGATTTTGTACAGTATAAATGAAAAGTCAAAATAACTATTTATTTTCGTTTTATATAATTAATGATCTATATTATAGATCATACACGAGTATGCCTATATGTATAATATATATATACCTATATGTATAATATGCTGCTGCTGTTGTTGATTGCCTTCAAGTCGAGCATGACAACCCGTATATGTATAATATATAAAGATAAAATTTCTATATGTATGATTTAAATATTTTTAAATATTATATATTAAAAGAAGGGTGACCCAACAGAATGTGGAAACTAAAGAACAATATCATTAATTTCACATGCAAGCAAGATTCTACTGAAGATTATCCAAAAACGACTGGAACAGCACATCAGCAGAGAACTGCCAGAAGTCCAGACTGGGTTTAGAAGCGGTCGTGGTACTAGGGATATTGTAGGTGATGTTGGATGGATCTTAGGTGAAAGCAGGGAATACCAGAAGAATGTCTATCAGTATTTCATTGATTATGCAAAGGTGTTTGACTGTGTGGATCATAACAAACTGTGGCTGACTCAAAAGAATGGGAATCCAGAACACTTGATCGTGCTAATGCGAAACCTATACTTGGACCAAGAGGCAGTCGTCAGAACAGAGCAAGGAAACACTGCATGGTTCAAAATTGGGTAGGGCGTATGCCAGGGATGTGTCCTGTCTCCATATCTTTTCAACTTGTATGCAGAATAGATTATCTGGGAGGCTGGGCTCGGCTCTATGAGGAGAAATATGGGGGTCAAGACTGGTGGAAGATCTATCAACAATCTGCGACATGCAGATGACACAACCCTTCTTGATGAAACTGAGGAAGACCTAAAGTGCTTGCTGCAGAGGGTCAAGGACTGCAGCCTCCAATATGGATTGAGGCTCAATGTCAAGAAGACAAAGATTCTCACTACTGGGCCAACTGACAGCATCAGGATGGATAGGGAAGAGATTGAGATTGTTCACAACTTCAGTTTGCTTGGCTCCACAGTCAACACTCTTGGCACCAGTAGCCAGGAAATTAAAAGGAGTATTGCCATGGGAAAGTAATCTGTTAGGGACCTCTCTAAAGTACTGAAGAGTAATGGTGTCTCTCTGGAGACTAAGGTGCGTCTGATACAGGCCATGGTCTTCGCAATCACTTCCTAAGCATCAGAGAGTTGGACAACGACTCAGGATAGAAGGAGAATTGATGCCTTTGAGCTAGGGTACTGGAGAAGAGTATTGAGGGTACCATGGACTGCTAGGAAAACAAACAGATTCATCCTGGAAAGGGTTAAACTGGGTGGCTCCTTGGAGGCAAGGATTCTGAGGCTCCGTCTAACATACTTTGGACATGTTGTAAGGAGGGAGTGGTCCTTGGAGAGGGACATCATGCTTGGGAGGGTGGAGGGACAGCGCAGGAGGGGAAGGCCCTCTATGAGGTGGATTGATTCAGTGACTGGAGTAATCGGGATGGGTGTATCAGAGATGGTGTGATTGGCACAGGACAGAGCAGAATTTAGGGCTATTGTACATAGGGTTGCTATGAGTCGCAAGAAACTCAACGGCACATAACAACAACAATATGTTTCTCTATTATATAATTAATTTTATACATTATAAAGTTGTTTGTTGTTATGTGCTGTCGAGTCTCCTGAGACTCATAGTGACCCTATGTATCTAATTCTACATATATGTAGAAGGTGGACTGATTCAGTGACTGGGGTAATCGGGATGGGAGTGTCAGAGACAGTGCGTGCGACTGGCACAGTACAGAGCAGAGTTCAGGGCTGTTGTACATAGAGTCGCTATAAGTTGTAAGCGACTCGACGGCAAATAACAACAACAACATTGTTAATTTTATATAAATGAAAAGTCAAAATCTAAATCTATAAACATACCATATCTACTTCCTTCCTACAGAACATATGTGGGACTGAGTTAAATAGGAAAGAAATTATTACAGAATTAGTCTCTTTTTCTCCCAAATGGGAACCTAAAAGGTGAAACTTTAAAACAGTGTTTTAATTGTAATATCACTGATATCAACAAGGATTGCAATTTGCATTTTGTTTTCTTTCTGTTGGGTGTGTAGCTACCCTCTGGAGATGTTAGAGAAGATCTAATTTAAAATGCATCTTCTGAAAAACCACTGAGTTGTTTTCAAAATGGGCTTTCAAAATGTACTTTCTTTTTTCCCTCCATTCCATCAGATCAAAAAATTCTCTCAGAAATTTCTCTCAGAAATATTAAAGTCAATGCCTAGGGAGTGTCATATCTTGAATGAACAGAATAAAAGCATAAAGTGAAATAATGCAAATAATAGGCATTCAAAAAGAAAAAATAGCCATTCCATCAATTTGTTTAGAAAATAAAAACTATATGTAAAATTGAGTATGTTTCATATGTTTGCAATCACATTTTCCAGGATTATCATTTGAACTCTTCACCCTTTATGAACCCTTCTTGGACTGGCTCACAATGAGTAACATCAATCTTTTTTCCATCTCAGTAGATCCTATTCTTATTTTTCTTTTATATTCTGCATCTCAAACCCTAAGACCACTGAAATCAAGGGTGGATGTTGAGTGGTAAGAACAGGCCTTTCCACCCTGGACAATCAGCATCTCCAGGATAAGTGGAGTGCTGGCTTATGTAAGCAGGGTACAACTCAAATTCCATTTGCAAATAACGTTCTATAAATATTTATGTACATATACTTTCAATATGTGTATGAGTCGAAACCAACTTGCTGCAGTGGGTGTGTACACACAATATCAGAGAGACATGCACTGAAATGTCAAGGACTGTTATTTCATAAAGAGAGATTTATATGTCATTTTGTTTTCTTTGTCTTTCTTGGGGGCTGGGGAAGGAGTGAAGGTCCTATAATTTCAAAAATTTTATATTATTAACTGAGATAAAAGGTTTCTTTGTTTGTTTGGTTTTTTACTATACTAGTTTATTTACAAAATTTGAATTCATTGTTTTTCAGACCAAAGGGGACAAAAATGTTCTACTCAGCTGTGGGTCAGTTCCCACTTGAAGGTACACACAACAGCAACATTTCAAAATGAGATTTTGAGACATTGAATATAAAAAGCAATGAGTGGAGACAAACAGGGAAATCGGAGGCACTAGGAAGAAGCAAGGGTAGGAAAGCTTCAGGAAACAGAGGTCAAAGCTCCTCTCCCCACACAGAGTATGCTCAGGGCTCAAGCTTGGCTCTGAGTTCCTGGGACTCCTTGAAAAGTTCCTCTCTGCCTCTCCCAACCTCACCCCCACCAGGACTAATTAAATTTTGTTTAGAGAAAGATAACAAGAATAGTTTTCTACATTCCCTGAACACACTCCCAGATGAGGCTCTGCAGCCCAGAAATGTGATAAAGAGCTTGTTGCAAATGAATACAATTCAAACAACACTCTTTGTACTAACCCACTGTTCTCGTAGTTAGGTGTGTGTAAGGATAGTAGATTAACTTTCCAGAAATGTGCCTCTGTGTGCAAGTCACTGAAGTACAATCATGAAAGCAGTAGCCAGGTCTATGGCACCTATGGTCTATGACAGAACCAAGCCCGGGGAGTTGCAGGGTTCTGTTAGGTAAAAGAGGCATGCCCTCCCAGAGCACAGAGCTTACCGTAAGCAGTCATGACACCGGCGTAGGGCCCATCCACCACGTTCCTGTTTTCATCTGCAAGCGCCTTGATGTATCTTTTGCTGAGGTCCAAAATCTGTTCACATAGCATGGAGCTGCTTTCAGGCTGTGTTCGCTGCTGGATGGTAAAATGCAGGAGCATCATACCCCAAATGAAGCCAAAAGTCACCAGGAAAAACCCCAGCTTCTGAGAAGACAACTTCCATGGAGTAAAGAGAGCCATTGCTCTCCAGCAACGTCACTGGCCCTCGGCAGTTAAAGAGCAGCAGGTGGACAAAGGTCCATGGTGCAAGCTCCACGCCTGGTCCGTCCCTCTCACTTGGGCCCCTGCATCGGCTGATGTCCTTTCCTCAGTTCCATTCTGCTGTGAAGAAGGAGGAAAATTAGCAATGTGGTCATGGGGGAGAAAACGGCACAATAAACAAGAAAGCCATGTTTGTGGTTTAACTCTAAAATGTGCACTTCCCTTTTCTTGACCTTAGCTGATCTAGTATTTTACATAATGATACAGGATCTGTAAGCTGAGTGAGGAAATCCGGCCGGATGGCGAGAAGCTATGCAAAAAAAGGGAATACAAGTGTCTGACTGTGTTCACAGGTGTGACAGAGCAGCCTCCTTCGTCTGGAGCCAGCTGAGGAGTCTAGGTAGAGAACCTACTGTATGTCAGCAAAAGTGGAGCGAGGAGTTGGATGCCATCAGGCATACTGCGTGTGCAACCTAAGCTCACAAAGTCACTCTGTGATTCCAACAAGGTCAGGCACAGGTACCCTGAAAGGGAGCAGGAGAGTGACTTCCTCTTATGGGTCAGTAGCTGAAGAAGGGGGAAGAGCCTTGAACTGTTCACACAGGGAAGGCTCGCTCTCAGGGATCCAGTGGTCTAGGCACCCTCAGACTGACAAGCCAAAGGCACCCCACCCAGGGGACAGAGCGCTTGCAATCACTCAGAGTGAGGAGAATGAGGATGTGATTTCAGCTCACTAACTTTGGATCAATCCTCAGGAAGGACCAGAATACTGCTAGAAAGGGTTATCATTGGAAAGTAAAGGGTTAGCAAACGACAGACCTTCTCTATGAGTTGGGGTGGCCTAATAGTCATAGCAAGGGACCAAGCACACCAACAGCCCAGAAGGTGGCGTACACGCAGCTGTCCTGCACCTTGAGGGAAGGAGCCCAGTGAGCAGGGCCACCAGCGGGCTCAAGCGGCACACCTGCTCACTGCATCACAGGCATCTCGCAGAACGTGGCAGTGGGCTTCCCTGCGGTTCTCACTTTCACTTCCACTCTGGGCAAAATGACAACTTGGGTGACACAGTGTCATAACTTAGGTGGCCTGGTCCTCTCTGGGGACAGACTTGACCAAGGTCTTAAATCTTCGCTCCCAACAAGTGGAGACTCAGCATGGAGTAGAAATGAGTTACAGGACTAGAAATAGTCTCCCCTGTAGGACAGCCCTGAGCCCCCAAGCAAGCTACCTTATAAGTGGCATCACCTCTAAGTATGAGAAGAGAGCAGAGCAAGGCTCTCCACAGGGGACTGACCCACCTGCATCTCAGAGTATGCACATATTCCAGGTCAAAGGAGTCTTCCCTCCCCCAGCAGCCAAGGAGGAAATAAAAGCACTGCTTAGCAATTAGCTTCTGAGACTGTTGACCTCACTCACCTGACTGTGCTTCACTTATCAGTAGACTCATGAGTAGTTGATAGTATTACAACTAGTAATGTTATGTACCATAGAATTGGAATTTGAACCTCATGCCTTTGGGCTGGCAGCACAACTCCTTACCACTAAGCCACCAGGGCTCTTTGTTGTTATGTGCCTTCGAGTCGCTTGTGACTCATAGTGATCCTATGTACAAGAGCCTAAAAGCCATATCCTGTGCCAACCTCGTTGTCTCAAACACACTCATCCCAACACTCCACTCACTGAATCAATCCATCTTATTGAGGGTCTTCCTCTCCTGCACCATCCCTCCACTCTCACAAACATGATGTCCCTCTCCAAGGACCAGTCCCTCCTTGCAACATGCCCAAAGTTGATCAGACGAAGCTTCAGAATCCTCGGTTTCCAGGTGAGAGCAGTGGTGATACAGTGAGAGAATTCTCTCATCCTCCAGGCAGGAAACCTGGATTTGACTCCAGGCCAGCACATTTCATGCATCTGCCACTGAAGGTTACAATGTTGGGCAAGTTTCAAGGAGACTTACAGACCAAGGATGACCAGGAAGAAAGGGCTTATAATCGACTTCCAAAATTCGGTCAGTGACAATTATGGGTAACAACAGTTTGATCCACAGCTGATCACAGGGCTGGCCTGAGGCTGGGCAGCTTTCATTCCATTGTACTTAATGAGGTCATCATGAGTCACATGCCAGCCCCACCACAGAAATAACAATAACATGTTGCAAGCATTGTTGTAAAAGCATTTGTCATAGCTCACTGGATCCTTATCATTCCTATCAAGATAAGAGTCCCATATGGGAAAGAATTATTTTCATTATTATTACCTCTGACTTACAAAGGAGAATACAAAGGCAGTGAGATGAGCCAGCTCATATGTGAACCCAGGGACCTTGATCCTCAATCTTCTCCTCACCAGCCTGTAAATCCATGGCCAAAAAGGAGTCCTTCCTGTCTAAGGTGTTGTGAAAAGGTAGTTTAAAAAAATAGGAAGAGAGTTGCTTTAAGATCCACAAAGCTTAAACCATTTACTAACTGGTACTTTGTAGAAAAACTTCTGCCAAGCCCTGAATTCTAGGTCACTAGTTCTCCAAGTGTGGTTCCTCACCCAGCAGCAGTTCCTTACCCAAAACACTTGTTAGAAAAGCCCAGTGCTGAGGAACACACACATTGTACCACAATACAACCAAATGCGATTTGTCCCCAACAGCCTCTAGAACAGGGGCTCTTCGGCCTACACCTTCCACACACCCTCTCATCACTACACCCTTGTGCATCTTCTGCAGGGTCACCCCTCCACCCACCCAGCAGGTGTGCCTACATCCCCACTCACCCCACCTTTTCGGACCTTTACTATGCCCTCCTCCTGGTGTAAAGTCCAAGAACACTCATGTCCATCCTGGCTTTTTTATGAGTTTCTTATATGTGACTTCTCTATCAGGGCACTTCACTCCCGCTCAGAGAAGAGACTGACCAGAGGACAAAACAAGGAACTCCTGACAAGAGCAACCGGCCGTCTGAGACACTACAGCCCTGCACGGAGAGAACTTCTAAGTACAGACCCCGGAAAGGCAACCTTCTGTCCTTCCTCCATCTGTCCTACAAGTACATACTGAGCACTTGCTGACCTGAAGTAACTAGACACCGCCCCATCCCTCAAGGAGCCTGCACTTAGAAAGCCACCCATACCAAGGGTCCCCTACAACCAGCACTGCCCCTACTTTCACAGGAAGTGGCCACCTCCATTAAGTCTCTGAACTAGGCATGCCACGCTTCCTTTTCTAGAGCCCACAGTCATTAGCCCCTTATACCTCAGAGCTGAAGGGATTTTCCCAGGGCAGGTGAATGAGGTGCCATATCACGAAAGATAAGACTTATGGTGACTTTCTTTTACTAATTTAAGGAGATAGCCCCAAAGGCTGACAGGAATTATCTGTCAACTTTAAGGCAGGAAACCCACTTGACTTCCTCAATTAACCCACCTGAAAAGGCTGCTCACTGCTGCTGAGTTGAAACAAATTAAAAACCAAGGCCAAGAGCTTCATCAGAAGGTGGGGTTGTCTTCTACCTCTCTATGCCTGGTTCAGGCAGTGCATTCAGGGCCTAGAGGTCTGCTTACATCCTAGCCTGGGTCCCTTTTTTCCAGCTCAGAGTCATGCAAATTTGGAGCTGAAATCCCTAGTGCAGGGAGTTCCAAGCACCATTCTGAAAATCTTGAGCTTCAGGAATAAGTGCCTACAGAAATGATGGAAATGAGTGCAACAATGAATGAGTGGAAGCCCAAAATCTCTGTAAATGTTTATGAAAATTAATAAAATATAATTATAGAAAAAAAAAAAAAGAAATGATGGAAATGTTTTCCTCCAAAGTAAGCTGTTGTTGTAGTTCTGTCCCATCAAGTTGGAACCAACCCATAGCCAATGCTCCAGCGTATTTTCGGAAGCAATAAATCGCACAGAAGGGGGCAGCCCATCTTTCTCCTGTGGAGCAGGTGGTGGATTCGAACCACAAACCTTTGCACTAACAGTGCAATTCCTTACCACTAAGCTATTAGAGCTCTTTTTTCCTCCAATAAAATGTGTAATGTGAAACAACAGAAATTTTATCAGTATACACACAGCAAAGAAGAGAATGAAATCAGAATCTGTTGCCTTAATTCTTACCAAGGATATCAAAGAATTTTCAAAAGAAATCTATTTACCCTTGTCAAGATGGGGCTACTCTGCTGGGTTGTGTAGTGTATTGCTGGGATAATGGAACCTGTGCCATTGGAATTTTAAATATCAGCTGGGACTCCAGGGGTGAATAGGATTCAGTCAACCTTCTGGACTGACAGAGACACACAAAAAAAAGTCTGGTGATCCACCATGAAGAACTAGTCAAGGAAAGCTCTGTGGATCACAGATATTGTCCAAGACTTAGATTCACCAGGAAGGCCTAAGACAGAAATAGGGCACCATGTCTGGCAAAGCAGAGGGCCAGCAGAGGCCCAGGAAATTCTCCATGAGATGGACTGACTCACTGTCCACAGCAACAGACATCATCCACCAGCAATCATAAAGACGGCACAGGACAAGGCAAGGTTTTAGTCTGTCCTATGTGGGATGCCCTGAGCTGAAGCCGACTCAACAGCAACTAAAATAACAAAGGATGAGAATACAGAACAGCAGTGCCTCCGAAGGGTGCCAGAAAGAGACTTAATGATGATCACTGTAATGGCCATACGATTAATATGTAGACATTTATCATGCAAACAAATAAAAAACAAAAACTGTGGCTCAGAATAAGACGAATCTTGAACACCTGTGTTTTCTAGCACGGGGGGATCTCAGGCACAAAGAGGACCAGAGTTTATCTTAGATAGTCTTATGTTCACCAGAAGAACAACAGCCAGGAGTCAGAGCTCTGAAAGAAGCCTGCCCGCACTGTGCTAGAATTCGTCACAGCCACTGTCTCTCCAAACATTCCTTCCCTTTATCCTCGTATTTCCTGTCAGAGCAACATTTGCCTTCTCATTCTCTCTCTCCACCAAGAAAATCTAGCTATATCTTTCCAAAAGTGGTGAAAGATCTATAGCAACAAAATGTATCAGCTGCCTTAATGTAGGAGACAAAAGCACAAGAAACAATATTCATCATCCCTATCCAGCCAGGAAATGCAATTCAAAATAACAGATGACCTAGTGAGTTA